TTTTTCTCGTCACTGTTGATGAGTATACATATTATAAGAATAGTATTTTTTTACTTAAATTTAGAAAGAATATAATTTTAAGTCGTAATTTTTAAAATGTACTATAGCTAATACTCATGATGCATATTATTAGTGATGTCCAGAAACTAGGTTTTGTTTACTTTTTTATTTTAAAAAGTATGAAAAATCAATTATATGTATAAAAACGAATATTTTATTGACTTTTAAGATGAATAAGTTTATCATTCAAATCATTAATATATATATTTGAAACACGATAAATTAGTAAGTAATTTTCTCATATTTAAAGTAGTCCGTGAAAATAGATGTGTAACCATGTATTAGATTAATGGTACCACTGTAAAAATGCAAAAAAAAAAAAACCGAAATACTACAATATGATAGCATTACTTTTTTTTGTCGCAGTGTAATTATCTGTAATATATTATCAAACTAACAGAAAGTGCCTGAATAAATGTAAGTGTAAAGAAACCGTCAAAAAAAGTGAAGTAGTATTTTCGGTTCGAATAATTTAGTGTATAAAAGCGCTAAAAATGAGTAATTATTGATGTTTCTGTAAAAACTCTTGATGAAGTAAAATCTAGTTTAAAAAAAAAAAAAAAAAAAAAAGACTTATAGTGTGATGATACAGATTGTTTTATGTTTTATCTAGCGGCTGAATATTTTTTACAATATATATGAGTGTTTGATTTTTTGCAATTTTTTGCGATGCTTAGTATAAATCATGCCTGACAAAAAAAATTAATTGTAAGTTAATGTATACTTACTTTATTTGTTTTCCCAGAGATTGTTTTAATAGATTTTAGCTGATCTTTACATTTTATTGCTTTCAATCATATTTCTGTAAATATTGCTATTTATGTGTCTGTGACTGCAAAACCGATGATTTCCATCATGAAATCAAATAAATTAATTTAAAAATTATTAAACAAATTTTCTATATGACTATGGCCTTTGATCCTTTATAGATAATAATCAGGTTATAAATAAATTAATGACTTTCATTTATATTTGTCAGGTATCGACAGTTTATTTATTTAATGTTGGACAGTTCATTCATCGCCTAATCTTCACACAAGTAACAATTTTTCTTTCTCTCTCTTGTTCCTCGTAATTGAAAGTCTTTTTCTGTCATCGAAACAATTTTCCCACATCAAAAGAAAAATATTTTTTTAAAAATAATAATAATAAATAAAACTGCCATAGGCGCGTTTTATCGAAGCCTTAACGAGAAAGTTCATTATATAGTTTCCATTGATTTTAAAAATTTTTCAGAGCAATAATATTCTGCAGTGAAATTTACGCTATTCATTACTTCGTTAAGTGTACTAAACTATTTGCTCCGAAAAATCAAAAAATCTTTTTATCCTTTACACTTTTTGTTACGATTTCAATAATTATTTATTCTTCATGCCATTATATATACTATATTTACATACATGTAATAGTTTTTTTTTTTTTTTTTTTTTTTTTTTTTTTTTTTTTTTTTTTTTTTTTTTTTTTTT